AACTTACCAGACACTGTTCCCTGGGATGGAGAGGTCTGGGAATTGAGCCATTGGGGCAGCTGGGAGACTGGGCCTGCTCTCTGCCATGGCCACGTAAGCCCCTGTGTTCCCCTACACACCGGGTGGCAGATTCTCCCCTCCCTCTTGACTTTGACCTCGTCTGTGCCTATTCCCCGTGTGTGCAATGTAACATTTATGTCTGCGCCCTAGCATTTCTGGAACATGGGGAGGCCTGTTTAGTCCCTCTGATTATTAAAGAAGACCCACTGGAAGCATGCCATGATCACAGAAGTGGCTGTGACATGTGAACACTCAAATCATAACACATCCACATGATCAAGACACGTATTTAAAAAATTCGCATTCTCGTTCCTGGCAATTTTAGGCATAATAGGAGGGGGGGGGGGTTGACATGAAAGACCTCTGATATTCCTTTTTTTTTTTTTAAGATCTTTGATATTCTTAAAAGATATGTCTTGAGATCTTAATACAAACTTCTATTCTCAAATGCAGTGATAACACATAATTCCACCCATGGAAGAGCATCAGGATTTTAAAAAGATTCCCAGGTGATTCTAACATGCAGCCAAGGTTGAGAACCACTGTCATAGATCAGCACACACGGCACCTGAACCCTAGGAAGGAACTATTGTTTCCCAGGGTGTCTCCATCGCAGACTAACCAGAGGCTCACTTTGTGGCCACTCCCTCCTCTAGGGTGAGGGGGGGGGGTCCCATCAGTGCCTAGGAGTTGCTCACTGAGACAGGGAGCAGAGACCCACTGGGCTCCTGCAAATGGGGGTGCTGGGTGGTTAGCAGGCTCATTCTCCAGCCAAATGATTTGCTCCAAAGTGCCAGCTCCTGGTTGGCAACCAAATATGGGCCTTAGCAGAGTCACAAATTATTTTATAACATGGACACTGGGGTTTGGGAAGAAGAGAAAATGGCATTCTTGAAGGTTGAAGGGCAAAGGTCATCCCTGTGATTTCTCCTTGGATGTCTGGGTTCCTGGGAATGCCCTTGAGAATTAGTCCTGCAGTAACCGAGGCTCAAGGTCTTGCAAATATGATCTTATTACCATCTCATTTGGCAGAAGAGGACTCTGAGGCTGGAGATTGTCACAGGGAGTGGGTGGGAGAGCCCCAACCTTACCCCACAATGGCAGGGTGAGGGCAAGATCAGAGGTCATTTGCACAACACACCCAGGAATCCTCGGACAATCTGTAGAGTAATCACCCCACCTTAACTAGAATCTGAATTCCCGAGTCATGCTCCCCCTGCTTCTTCAAAGCCACAGCTATGGTGTTACAGAATTTACCAGGCGACCAAAAAAACAAAAAAACAAAAAAACAAAAAAAAAAACACCACAGGAGTCCCTGGAAATACAGGAAAATCCCATTTATTTCCAGATGTACTAGTACCATGACTCAGGGGAGCCTGTTTCCAAATGCCAAGCAAACCAATATGGAGGAAGCTTTCTCTTTATGCCCTTTGGTTTCTTTGTCCTCCATATATGGATCAGACTTCCGGACCTTCCACGGGCTTTGCAAAAAGCCCCCTGTGTCGGGATGGGGGCTGTGAGACCACACCTAAAGGCCTGGCCTGGCGCCAGTGCTAACCCCCTCCAGGGGGTGTATTGTTCGTGGTTTATAGCCTCTGTGAAATGTGAGTATTTAGGTAAATAGGTCTTGTAAGACCAGATAATTAAGGAAGGGGCAGTGACTTGATTATAGGCTAAAAGGAATGTGCATTAGAGATACTGACTAACTAGGTACAGAGTCAGGCTGCTGGTCTCCCCTCCAAAAATGTCTTATTTCCCTCATCAGTGGTACTGCCCACCTATCAAAGGCTACCAGCCTGACCTGTGGCCACGGAAACGGCTGTTCACTCTTAATGACACGGTGGCACCATCTTTCTAAACATCACTATTTTCTCTCTTTATTTCTTTCTGCATCATAATCTGTGAGAGCCCTCCATGCAGAGGGAAGAAGGCCATGTGTGAATTATGCGAGTCGGTACAAAATTTCCTGCTAGTGAGATATGAACGAAAGTCTCTCTGCAATAAACAAAAAGTGTTGTGTGTAATTTCCCACTGGTCTTTTTTGTTAATTGGGCCCTTACTGCTGAAGCCTTTAATGTAGAGAATAATGAATAACTGGCTTTTGTGCACAGCCTCTCAGATGTACAAGGCCCCGAATTTACAGCGAGCTATTTTTAGATCTTACATTATGATATAAAAGATTGCTTATTGCTGGTAATGCAGAAAGCAAATTGCATTTCCGCCTCTGCGTGTGTTTTCTGTGTGGCTTGCACGAGCCTCCACTCTTGCTGATTCATTATGCCCGAACAACTTGCATAAAGTCGGGGAAATTTTAATGTGGAAGATAGTTCTCGAAAATTTCTCGTACAACTCAAGCTCAAATTCTGCTTTGGCCGGTCAGGGGGTTGGTTCTTAGATGAATCAAATTAAGATTTTCTTATGTGAGCCCGGGGGTGGGGGAGGGGGGGGAAATCACAGGCCGTGGGATATTATGTAAGAGAGAGAAAGGAAATCCTCATGGTGGTTTTTGCCCCAGAGATGGGTTCTCTGTACCCCCTCCCCCTCCTCACCCCCCTCTAGCTTCTCTTCTCTCCTTCTCCATCTCCATCTCCATCTCCATCTCCTCCTTCCAATTCATGTCCCATTATTGCCCCTCTGTTTTCAAAATTTTCTAAAAATACTTTTAAATTGGTTTTGAGAGAGAGAGGAAGGGAGAGGGATAGAAAGATAGAACATCAATAGGAGAGAAATATCGTCAATCTGCTCCCTCCTGCACGTCTCTTACTGGGTGGGGTAGAGCCAGCAACCAGGGCATGTGCCCTGACCGGGAATAGAACCAGCAATCTCTTGTTTCATGGATTGATGCTCAACCACTGAGCCATACCAGCTGGCTATCACTCTTATTTTAATGTGACAATGTCATGGAACCTATCTGTCCAAGGTCTTGTATTCTAGAATCTGCTGTCTTAAAAATAGAAACAGCACACATGAATTTTATTTCATTCACCACAATAATAGCTTCTATATACATTTAAATAATGGTCTACATAAATGTGCAAAGAATTATTTTTTCAATTTATGGGCCAATATGGGCACAAGGACACTTCCCAGCAGAGCAGCAGCTGCCCGAGGGCTGGGCGCCAATAAACTCACAAGGCATAATTTTCTGTTTATTTATTCATTAACTGCTCACTGGCTGCCACTGATGACCTGGGCACGGTGGGTAAACAGATGGGCAGGAGACGGTCTGCCTTCAGGTGGACATGTGAGAACCAATGGGAGGCAGGCTGCGCGGTGCCTGGGTTGGAATCCTTCTCCCAGTTGCTGTGTCACATGACACAAGTTGGATCTGCCCCTGAGAGGAAGTCTGGGCCCTGTGCCAGGGTGCCCAGAGCAGAGACAGCCGACAGGGGAGTCCTGTGTGGGGTGGGAAGGCCTGGCTCTGGCGCTCCTGCGCGGCCCGTGACCCCTGGAGCTGCCGGGAGAGCTGGGCCTTCGGGTGATGTGCGTGGATCCCGCAGGGGTAGCAGCTGGACTCCAGCAGCTCAGGATGTTCCCAGGGGCAGCTTCTCCCCAGTGGGAGGGCATATTTTTGGCAGCCTCAGGAGCCCACAGCCTTCCCTTGAAGCTCCATGAACTTTCCTAGAGACCCCTAGGTGTGTGCCAGGGGCAGAGGGCAGGGGAGAGGGGGAGGGGGAGGGAAGTCTTCCCGGGCCCCTGCCCCAGCGAGTCCCTCACTGCCTCAGCCAGGGGGGCCCTCGTTTTGCTGCTGGGCCCTCAAGGGCTGCTGCTTGTGCCCAAAGTCTCCCCAAACTAGTCCCTGGTGAGTATGGCTCCCTCAACTCCACCCTCACTCCCTCTCCAGCTCCGCGCCCCGCCCCCTCTTTTCCCAGCTGACCCCGCTCCCTGCACACTTGGGTGCATGTTGATGGGGCATCAGCCCTCAGATAGCCTGCCTGGTAGGGCTCAATGAAAGTGACCCCAACAATGGAGGGGCTCAGGCTCCCAGGGAAGGTCTCCCCACAGAGGGAGCCCATCCTGAGGATGGATGGGAGAGAGCAGGGGCCGGGGCGCACCGGGGAGATGGCCTGCCAGGCCCAAGAACAGAGCTGCCTGCCCCTCATTCTCCCTGGTCAACCCCCTCCTCGTTTCTAAGGGAACAAGAGAACAATGAAACCCAGCAGCTGTGTTTCTCCAAACTAGCAGGTGCTGGGAGCAAGGGCATGCGCATGCTCAGGGGTCCTGACTCGGGGCCTCCAAGTCACCTGGAGGCTGGTTAAGGCACAGATGGCTGGGTCCCACCCACGGTTTCTCATTCAGTGGATCTGGGGTGGGGCCCCCAAACCTGCCTCTTAAACAAGTTCCCAAAAGGGGCTGGTCCCGCTGGTCCAGGGACCACACTGGGAGAACCTCTATGTGCAGCTGCCCGGGTCCTCGTGCGCCTGGGTCTGTCCGCACCCGCCTCTCTGAGGTCGCCGCTGCCCCGAGGACACCCACATCTACTGCCTCTTTCACAGGGCTGCGTTACTGATTTGTAAAGAGCCTCCAGCTGTTTCTTGAAGGCGCCCCTTTCCTACCCAAGCATCCCTTTCCTGGGTCAATGTCCACAAGGTAAGTCTCTCATGTTAGAATACAACCATGAAGGGCGCTTGTCTTTCCCATTTTGTCCAATTTTATCTGCCTCTTTAAATACTCAGGATTCATGGTGTTGACTGATGTAGCTAAACCATCCAGTCCCTCCTGGCCCCCCTCTCTGGAACTCCCAGTTGTACCCCTCCTGCTCCGAACAGCTAACTCCATTGGCTTTCTGGAATAGACACAGGAAACAAGATTGGTCAAGTTCATTGTTTGCCCGAATAACACTGGCAGCCTAATTTCTCGGGTCTGGGAATCCACCTGTGCCCCCCACCTCCTTCCCCACCTCCCAGCTACAGCTGTCGCCATGAGGGCCGGTGCTGAGGCCAGGGGCTCGTCTGTGGTGAAGGTCCCTCTAGTGACCAGAGCCCCTCTCAGAGTGCAGAACAGTGAGCTTTATGAACATCAAAACGTCACCCCTCCCCCCAGACAGCAGGAGGACTCTTGCTGTCCTTTCTAAGAGAAAGGGAAGTTATTTCTGGAATTTGGCAGCTGCTCCCATTCCAAATGGCTGAGTGTTGACATCATCAAACGTGTACCGTCCAAGTCAGAACTTCCTCTTTTTGCAAACGGCCCGGAACTACCTGTAGAGACGCAGACACATCAGAAGAGAGGCGGCTGCGATGGGAACACGCAGCCTGGCTCGGAGCCCTCTCGGCGCCACATTTCGGTTTGCAAAGGAGAGGAAGGGAAGAGGAACTGGGGCGGCAGGGAAGCCCGCCCTGCGC